GGACGGGCGTGATGGCCCGTGTGGCGTTCGTGAGGGATTGTTTGGGCGCCCTGGCAGCCTCCCCGCCTGCGTGACCAGGCCCGGTTTGGCAGCGGTTTGGGCTGTGTGTGGGCTGGTCGCGGTAGGGGATATAGGGCTTGTTTATGGTCCCACTCACCACTCCCGGCCAACGGGGCCTCGCGGCACGCGGGGCGTCCTCGTTTGCAGTAAAAGGCCTCTGCCATCGCTCAGAGTCCCAATCCATGTGATCATCCGCGCCGCCGCGCCCGAGTAGTCCCCAGATGCGACGTCGTCGGGGAGGGCGTCGTCGCGGGCGCCAACGTCGTCATCCGAGCCCCTACGGCTGTCCAAGGGCACGTCTGGGTGACCAGGGGCGGGGGCCGAGCCGTGAGTGCTCCGCCGGGGCGAGCTTCTGGGTCCATGGGACCGCTGCCGGACCCATCCGAGAGCCTCTCCGGACACGTTCGCTCGATGGCCTAGTTGGCGGCCGATATTCGACGACCAAAGCTCCGGGCGCCGCGGCCAGAGGTCCGCCCACGGCCCCAGGACTCGTGGTGGGTGTGGGGTGTGCCTCACGAGGCGGAGAGGCCGCGTGAACGCCCGTAGAAGCTCGCGAAGTGCGGATTTGGAGCGCCGCGCCGGACCTCCGCCGGGGCCCGCCGGGGCGTCGTATGGGCCTCGGGGTGCCCGAGAAGCTTAGAGGTGCGGTTTTTTTTGCTTGTGTCTATCGGTTCATGTCATGGACCGGCCCTGGGAAGCCTTTGACCGCGCGCGGAGGGTGTTACGGGGCCGTGATGATTTAGCGGGAGGGAAATCGGCTGGTTTGCCCAGTGTGCCCCGCCCAACACCCCTACCCGCCGGGCAGCGCGCCATCCAGATGGCCGCCCCGACCCTCACTTCCGGCTGCGCGCCCACGCTCGGCCAGCAGGGCCGCCGAGCGCATCGCGGCTGTTATAGTTGCAACCCTCATGCCACCCACTCTCGTCGTTCTTCCTCCTGTCGTTTCCTCCTCTGTCGCGTCGCTCTCGTCTGCCTCGTCCTGCGACGCCGCCGCCGCCTGCCTCGATAGACGATAGTTTCGTGGTTGGGTTCTTTTTCGCCACCAAAATTCTTTTTCGCCACCTCCGTCCGACACTATCGAGCCTGTCTGCTGACTGCTGGTTGTCGAGCCTGTCTGCTGGTTGGGAGGCTCGACAAAGAAAGGAAGGGAAACTCCAAGTGCTCCAAATCTCTGAGCGGGCGGATTCTGTGTCGAGAGAGAGATTTTTGAAGACCAACAAGAAATCACGATCCTCACAGTGATTTGGGCTCGGCAGCTTGTTAGCCCTCAGCCGAAGCTGGGGCCGGTCCCGTAGCCGAGAGAGCCCGCGCCGATGAGTTCGACGCGGTCGCGGGGGGCCTTGCGGAGAGGCTGCGGTGTCGTGCAAAAAAAGACAACACTCAAACAGGAATCAAAGGAATGTTGGAAAAAAGAAATCGCGGTACAAACAGAACGTGCCCAGCTCCCCTTTCTCCGTCTCGCGCGTGACCGCGAAGCACAGCACGCACGTGACAAAGTCGCGCGCCGCGATGCCGTTCGTGTTTCCTGCCATCGGCGGCGACCGGGTCGAGGGCGAAATCGGCCACTCAAAACGGCGCGGTCAACCCGGGTATTCCCAGACTGTGCCGAGTCGAGATGGTGCCGCGCTCGAGTGGATGGATGGATCTCGTAGAGCGAGAGGACGAGGAGCGCCGCCCGCGCGCGGGCCGCCGCGGGGAAGAGCGAGTGGCTTGCCGGCGACCACAGCGCCGCCGCCCGCCGGATCAGCGCCACCGCCTCGCCCTCGCCGCGTTTCCTCTGTTTCGTCTACTCCCTGGTTTCGGATCCGTTACGCGCCTGCGAACGCCGAACGCCCCCCCACCTCGTGTCGACCTGCTGAGGGTTGTATTGTCGCTAGGGCACAATGGTTAAGGTCGCAGTCGCATTGGTCGCTTGTGCTGCGGTTGCCTCGGCGTTCTCTGCGGTGCCACAGGCAGGCAAGCCGCACATTGTCCTTATTCTCGCAGTTGACTACGGGCACGCAAATCTGGGCTACAACGCCCGCAAGACCGGCAACAAGCAGCTCATCGCCGAGACCAACACGCCGAATCTGGACGCGCTGATTGATGATGGTGTCTACCTCAGTCAGCACTACTCGTACGCCGTCTGCGCGCCATCGCGCTCATCGCTCCAGAGTGGCCGCTTCGGCTCGCACGTGAATATGTTCAACACGGCGCCAGAGGCAGTGAACTCTGCGGATCCGATCAGCGGGTACGCTGGTATACCCGTCGCGATGACTGGCATGGCAGAGGTACTCAAGTCAGCTGGGTACCGCACGCACGGTGTGGGCAAATGGGACATTGGAATGGCAACTCCGGCGCACTCACCCTTTGGAAAGGGGTACGAAACGTTCATTGGGTATTACCAGCACGCCAACGACTACTGGAACAAGCGAGGCTCGTTCTTAGCGACTGGCGAGGTCGACATGTGTCTCAGCCTGATGCTTGACTTCTTCTCGTACAATGAGACGTACCGCGGTGGTAACCCGAATCCTGGCCAGGTGACAGACTCGTGCAAATGCCAAGAGGGCACCGAAACCGGGTGTCAGAATGGCGGTGACGAAAATACATATCCGTCCTGCTTTGAGGAGACCATCTTTATGAACGCGGCGATGGACAGGATCCGCGCCCACGACACATCGCAACCTCAGCACCCTCTATTCCTTTTCCACTCTTTTCACTTTCTTCACACGCCGCTGGAAGCGCCAATCGCGGCAATCCGTGAGCTCAACCAAACGATCCGTGACAAGGGCGGCGATCCAATTAATTTGGAGAGCCGATTGATGTACAACTCCATGGTGCTGCTCATGGACAAGATTGTTGGCAGGCTCGTGCAAACGCTCGTGGGGAAGGGCATGTTCGAAAATACTCTCCTCGCGTTTCTCTCCGACAATGGCGGGCCAATCTACCTCCCGGCCGGAGCAAACAATTATCCCCTGAAAGGAGGCAAGTGGAGTGACTGGCAGGGGGGTGTGCTTGCGAATGCGTTCATCTCGGGTGGCGTGGTGCCCGCGTCGATTCGTGGAACCGTTCATGCGGGTATCTTCTCCATCGCTGATTGGTACACCACGTTCGCAGAGGTTGCCGGATTGTACGACAATGACGAGATGAAATACCCAGTGTCGCTCGACGACGGTGTGCTCGTAGACCAGAAAGCAAAGGCGGCGAATGATTGGATGGACGCCAACAGACTCGATGAAACAACCAACCCGCGCTTGCCTCCTTTGGACGGAGTCCCGCAGTGGGCAGCAATCCTGGCGGGGCGCGATGCGCGCGATGGGAATCCGATCCACATCTCACCACAGGCTCTGGTTTGGAAGCAAGACGCAGGTCTGCTTAAACTCGTCACCGGCAAACAGTATTTTGGTCGGCACGTGGGTCCAGTGTTCCCCAACTGCTCAACCTTGCAGAGCGGGCAGAACCTACAAGGACCGGCTCGCCAGACCGTCAAGTTTCTGGACATTCAGTACGAGCCCAGCACAAACCAGGAGCAGATCGACACACTCACTTGGACAGAGGACTGCGGTGGCGGCTGCCTGTATGACCTCGCCTCGGATCCAACAGAGAGCAACGACCTCGCCTCGGATCCTGCCTTTGCCGTTGAGCTCGAGCGCATGCAGGCGAAGCTGGCGGCGCTCAACGCCACTCTGTTTTTGCCTAACCGTGGGGATCAGCCATCAACCGCTTGCGACTCCTTCATCAATCACGGCGGCTTCTACGGCCCGTTTATGGCTCTCGAGCAAACATCAGAGACGCACCAGTGGGGCTACGTCCCCGATTTCTACAAGGGCGGAAGTCCACCCTGGCCGCTCGACAGGACCCCAGACGAGGTGCGCACAATGATCAGCATC